CAGCAGAGGAAAAATAGTAATCATTTTGTTCGTGATGTATCTGCGCATGAGTGGATCGAGAAGAACCTGGAGAGTGGACACGTTTGCTCGCACGCCTCTAGTACTTTCTTGCTATTAACGCGAAACAAATGCTATTAATTCTAATTGTTTCGAGTATTTACCAAAGGGGTGTCTTAACATCGCAGTAAAATGCATGAAAGTTGCTAAATGATGTATTGACAAGTCCCGTCTCGTCGCACTTACGCGATTATTCGCACTATCTCCGGATGACATTCCTTACAGAAACCCAAAACCATTGACCTAATTGTCTAATAGTCTGTAAAAATACCTAACTTTTTATTCCATAATAATGCCAAATCCCAGCGCTATTCAAGACAAGATGATTCAATTACTTCTAAATCCACCGTTGAAGCAGATGATGTCGAAACTGATGGCAAGCCTGTGATTAGGCATGTGACAAATGCAATGATGATTGTTTGCCATGCTTTTACACTTCTGCACTCAGAAACACGAAATTTTGCATGAAATATTTTCTTGCACAAACGCGAGGCAAAACAAAGTTATATGCGTTATCAGCTACCTGAGGCATCTTAGTCAAGTAAATGTGGGAAAAGTGCTAAGAAACTCTCGTGGCATATTTGCAGTTCTGGTTGATTGCACAGAAACAAATGGCCTAACTTTGAAGGACACTACGTAGAAAAGAGGAGAACTGTGATTTATGTATCGCCGAAAGATTCATCTATGCTAAGCGGTCACCTTATTAGAATAAAAATTGCAGATATATACCATGGGTTTCTCCTAGCCGTTGGAATCAGATAGAAGTACGTTTAAGCAAATTGTAATGCGACGTTATATGCATACAAATAAAATTATCATATGTGCATTCTTTTAAATAGTGAATTTTTAATTGCTAATTTTTGACGAGACGAGCAATTTATTCACAAGAATGCCAAGTTTGTTCTACTTCATTTGAGATGGTATTCAGAGTATTCTCTGTTTGGTAGCAATAGACTGCACATACTGGACGAAACAAGCGAAAACTGTTATGTATTTTATATTATCATTACATGGTTATACTTTTTTTCGCAGGATAAATGCTTTAATAATGAACAGGTCTCTTTTCAGCTTAAGGATATTGGGCGCAGTTTAATCCTCTACCTACTGTATATAAGTAGCAATTGTTTTTGCACGTCACTGTGGACGGCATTGGGCACGTTCGAAGTGAAATCAATGGGCACGGTTTCGGTCAGGGGCTTCGTCATTTGGTTTTCCGTAGAGTTTTTAGACGGTAATGTGCTCTCAGCTTCACCTTGTAAGAGGTAAATCATGATCATAGGCATTCGATCCACTTCAGATTAGGTGAGAACTCTGATTTAAATAAGAACAGTCCTGTACAAATGACATGAAAGCATGTTGGATTCCTCCATTTTCATCCCTAAAAGTTAGGATTCTCCTTCCAATTTTACGAAACCATCAACGAGGAATGCTGTCCAGGGACGACACCACACTGCAACACGAGACACTACGTAACACGTTCGACCGATCGATTTTCACAGACGTGTATGGTGATGCGAGGAAGTGATTCACACGCCCAACAGCCAGACATGTTGAACTACGCGTTTCGATGCTTTCTACTACTTCTTGCACTTCTGCGCATTGTCGTCATTCCCACCATCCGGTTCATCATCAACGTGCCTCAGCCGCTTCGTTTCGTCTTCTCCAGTTTTAATTACTGTATAGCAGGAATTATTTGCCTTAACTGCCTCTCTATTCTCCACCGTGCTTCACTGTGAATTCACCAGTGTTGCAAACCAATGCAATAATAGGCGGCCGATCCATTTCTATCATCTTGCGTGGGTGCTCCATTTCCATTGCCTGCAGATGGCTGCCTCTGCTCGGCGAGTGGTTTCAAAAGCAAACCTACTTGCAAGACGATACTACACATATTTGGAATGCCCTTCACAATATGATGTTACGTGTGAATTCTACCATAACGGTTCGGGCTTCTTTGGAACACAAGCATGGATTTGGGATAGACGGAGGTGGCTCTTC